GAAATAATCGAAATAGAGATATAGTGATGGGGAGACTGATTACTATGAGGAGAATAAAGTCCAAGTTTCCAACAAAGACCAAATGGTGAAGATCTTGCCGAAGAATGTCTTCTTGATGCTTTCGATGGATGTGAATAGTCCTGTTTCTTCTGATAGACTATGTTTCCCTTGTGACACATCATTTTGGAAGTGCGGCTCGGTTACGTAGTTTAGTCGTCCACGTAGTGTGAAGAACGTTTCTCCCGCTGGACACTTAGCGCTGCAGTTCATATCGATATAACTTTTCGGGAAATGGAATATGAGTTTTGAAATATGGCCTTCAGGCTTACAAATTGCAATTTGGCTTTGATTTTCACATTTTATCACTGCCGTTTCCACAGTGAGTGAAGAGACACACGAATTTTGGTGGTAGCTCCAATATAACATGAGTAACATCCGTGAAGAGATCCATGTTCAATTGTACATGTGTTCCGCGATCGTTTCGTGTAAATTTGCATGTTATTAATAGAGAGTTGAACGGAGATGCTCGTTCCAGTTGATGTTTTGGCGATGATGTCGTTGTGCTGTTTGGGGATGATGATGTTGTCGCTTGACAGCGGAAGAGTGCGTGACGCGTTGGTGAAGTAGCTGGTCATGTTTCCATTTGGGCACTCGCAGTGTGCGCTGTGTACTGTTGTCGAACATTGACAAGATGTCGGCGAGTATCGACATTCGTTGAATCGATGGATCGACGATAGCTGTTTTCTTCCCGTCGCTGACGAAGAAGCTTGAGAGAATTGGGAAATTTGGCGACGTAGTCGCTAATAGCGCGATTTGTGGTTGACTCCATCGACGTGGTATGGCGGGTTGGAGGATGAAGTCGTGATGTTCCTTCTTTTGCGTCACATCGCTCGATATGGTTCCATGAACTGTAATGGGCCATGATGGGCAGCTGAATACATGGTATGTGTTCGTCGATGTCGGCTCTGCGTAGTGGCGATAAAATATACAGTAGCGCTCAAAAGTCTTCGGTGAAATGGCTCTTCAGCCGGACTTTTCAGTCGTGACTCCTTTTCTGCTGAATCTGATCATGCGAAATTTCAATGTGTGTATCATGGGTATACTGTGAATATTTACCACTATTCACATGCAATCTGACCATGTTCTAGATATTCCAAAGAGCATCAACTCAAAATCGACTGAAAGTACGGACGATGGCTCTTCTGGAAACTCTTTCCTCCCTGCCATTAAAGTGTACGAGCGGTAACGCCGAACACAATAGGTGACCAACGCCAATAAGGTCCGAATAAGTGCAGAAGTCAACAACTTTAGTTTTAACAAAATCTGCTATCGAAACAAAGCCTTGTCTATCTGTGGGTATTGCAGCTTCACAGTCAAATAGTGTTGTGTAGGGTGAAATATGCTCTGGTTAAACATATCCAAATTTTGCGTGATTTGGTCTACTAAGAAAGAAGTTATGAACGGAAAAGCGTCGAAGCATTTCGCCGAAGACTTTGAGCGCTACTGTACATGTTTCTTTACATCTGAAGCACCAGTCGCACCATAGACATTTACAGCTTGGAGAGCAATATGTAAAACCTGGTCTACGATTGGCGTGGTTGCTAATCTCTGGAATTTTCGATGATGTAGTCGTTCCTTGACATGTTTCTCCTGTGCAACTTTTTGTATTCCAGCATTTTTGATTGGATTCCGTATGAAAGTTGTGATCACGCGTGTAATATTGAGTTTTTCGTTGACATTGGTAAGCGACGTTGTGCAGGCGTAATGATATGTTTCCTGCTGGTTGGTTGCTGGAGTCTTGTAAAAGTAAACACGCTTCTTGTCCTATTGGTTGGAGATGAAGAGTTACCACTTGATCCACAGTGTAGGTTTCAGCCGTGGCATTGAATTCGCGGTCGAGAGATGTACTGGTGATGCTGACGATATCAGAGCATGAAGAACATAAGCGGATCGTCAACAATGCTATTGGCAGAATGCGAGTATATCGTTTAGTTCTTCTTTTTGTATATGACGGGGATTGTGGTAGAGTATATTTTCGTCGCCGGCATCTGACGATGTTCACCAATGTGATCGTCTTTTTTTTCATTATGCGGTACATTTTGGAGAGTGCCCACCATAGGCACGTGAAAAGTGGTGCTGACAGCCTGCAAAAGATGAGTGTGAGCAGAGAAGCGAAGACGATCGCGATGATTTGAGACGTCGTCCAACATTGGTAATTATAGAGATGTTCCCAACATATAATGCAATCTATTATTTCGCATATGGGTTTTCCTGTGAATTTAAGCGTGGTGGAAAACTTTCGGGTGCCTTTGATTGACATGATTCACTTTATTTTCCCTCTAATTTCGTAGAATGTTGAAGACAAATCGTGGGCAAGTTTCTACCTCATCATAGATCCCGGCAATCCTCGTCCTTGACCAAACCGGCGTCTGGGGACATGAGTTATGATCGGGTATTGCATCTGAAGAGCCTCAGATTCTTGTGGTCATCCTTATCCCGCTAAGATCAGCCTCGGTATAGTCCTACACGTCTTAGCTGCGTCAGGAGAAAGCCATTCTTCAGAGAGCCCCGCCACGTTTAACCACTGCAGTCGATCATTCCTCGAGGGAACTGTCTTACGTTTCCGCGTTATCCGAATCGGAAAAGGTAGTGCAGTGCCCGGTCTCGCGCAATCAATCGGTGGCTATCAGAGCGGGGAAAAGAGTCACGTACAACGACAAACTACGAATCGATGCCACGTCAGACGAGTGTGGAGGCGATACAGATTGCAGTATTTGCTCTAGGACCCCCATACAATCAGCTGATCGCCGAGTAATGAGACGATTTTTTCTGCTAATTCTTTATTCTCTGTTATTCTTTTTGCTGCTGCCATCCCTCATTTAATTTTCTACCACAAGCGCTATTCTTACTGTTACTAAGGTTTTTTGTTAACTTATACTTCTGAGTCAATGAATTTTCGCCTACCGTAGTAGCTATTCGCACCGGGACCAACACGTATGCAGTGACCAATTGTATAGCTCGTCCAGACACCCCATTGTTCCTTATTTTTCTGGACTCAGTCTCAACCAGCCCCTTTTTTAACGATTTTCCGAAGATTTTTTTCACTTTGAGAACACCGATTCACGCAGTTTCTTCGCCATCGCACCATTTTCCATCTTGTCTTTCATTTTTCGTCATAATTAGGATTACCCAGAATTATCGTGAACTGTGCCTTCGAGGCACCAGTCTTTTCGGGAGCCTGGGTTCGAATCCCACTCTCATCATACATTTTGTTGCCATCTAGTGCGTGCTTATTTCTCAAAGGAGTTACAATGAAAGTTTTGTTGAAGTGCGTTCCCTCGAGAAGTACCAGTGGCGAGATGGCCGAGCGGTCTAAGGCGCTGGTTTAAGGCACCAGTCTCTTCGGGGGCGTGGGTTCGAATCCCACTCTCGTCATACATTTTGTTACCATCAACTGCGGGCTTACTTCTCAAAGAAATTTTGGTTAAAATTTTGTTGAAGTGTGTTCCCTCGAAAAGTACCAGTGGCGAGTTGGCTGAGCGGTCTAAAGCAAATTGTATGGCGTCAGTGTAATGCTCTTGGCGTTACTTCAACGAAATCAAGTGAAATACGGACAATTTCTAGTGATTATCCCTGAAATAGAAGTTTCTAAATGTTCTAGCAACGCTTACTAAGTCGTGCCGAATATTCACAATTATGAACCACCTCATGAATGTTCTGGATGTTCTGTATCGAAGTAGCACGATTATCTTTCACGTTATTGTGACGCGGTGAGAAGTTAGAGGGGGTAACCATGTTCAGAATACCAAATTCGGAGGGGAAACACATAGGATCCTTGTGAGAATTAGGTAGGGCCCTACCAGAAAACCTCAAAGTTGCAGCGGGTTCGTTTTTCTTGAGATTCCGAAACAACGAAAGTTTCTTGAGTTCATTTCAAATCACTTGCGCACGTCTCCCCATGAGGAATTTTCATAGTCCCCAATGAGCTAAATGGCAAGGTAGAAACCTCAGGAGATACAAAAAATTCAGATTTTCAATATTTATTGCATTACTATAGAAAACGGTGACGATTGAAGGTTTTGTTAGTTGGGAAAGGCAGAGACTAGGAATAACTAGTCCTTACTTCCTCCTCCAACACTTTCTACAAGCTGTATTATGTTGAGTGCTTGCAGAAGTAGTGGTCGATCTATCATCTGGCCTCGGAACTGGAACGCACCCTTTCCTTCAGACTGATGTTGACTGAAGGCGTGAACTAATTCTGTCGCCCACTCTATCTTCTCCGCTGATGGCATGAAAGCTTCTTGAACGACTGGTATCTGAATTACAAAATTTAGATGGGAGCGGATACTCACCAACCTTTCATGCTACATATGACATGGATTTACACCCAATTTCTCCGTTTTCTCGAAAATGGAGATGGCGTAGAGGCTAATGGCGCATCATCACCCACACATAGTCCACCCATCGAGTCCCAGAGTTCTTCCTGGTCGGACAAGCCTACGACTTTTCCGAGACCTTTTAATTGCTGCCAAACTCTTCTTGTAGGATGAAAGCACTGTCCTACATACTTTCTGTCCGTCGCAAGCCATTGTATAGGCCGTCTACGCAGAGAAAACGCCGCTCTGATTTTAAATCTTGATCGAGTGCGAGTTATATCCCAGAACGGGATCTATAACAGCCAAAAAACTGTTTTTGTGTATTGTAAGAAAGCAACCAAATAGCAAATCTCATAGTCAGCGATTTTCACAGAGATCGGGGCGTGACTAATAAGATTGCTTGGAAGTGACTTTAAGCTAATAGTGTTTGACACAAGTTCCGATAGGCTTCTAAAGCGTAATAGCCGGATTCGATCTCGTAAATATACGGGATTTAGAATGGGGAGAGGATCCTACCATTATACATAGAGTCAAATAAGCCAGGGAGAGGGACTCGCTTATGGTATGAGTGGGCGGCGGTACTTTTCTCAACATTTATTCCGCAAGTGGCATTTCATGGCTATCGGCTCCTTTCTTTGAGAATTTGAACCTTCTCCTTCATAGCGCGCGACTGCGCACGGTAGGATACCGCTAGCACACGCGATTTCCAGGTAAAAGTTCCCATAACCTGCGCATATATGGAAATCACCAGGTCAATCTAGAAAACATCTGGTTTACAGACAGATCGGCAGACATTTCCCGGACAGTCTAATATTACCTGCTATATGTGACTGATACAAACTATTCTTATTAATGGAAACATGACGAAATGAAACGTTGTGAGTGACCATCTTCGATGGCTGGCCAACAAATGACTGGGGTTGGATATATGACAGAAAAGATGAAAAAATAGATCTTCAGCTCCATTTCCTTCCACGCAGAACTGAAGAGCGTTTTGACTTACATAGGTATGCGACTTTATAACAGCTTGCGGTGGCCAGCCCATTTGCAAGTCAGTGCTCGAACCCCTCCCCCACGAGTTTGGTACCAAATAACCGAACCTCGAGCAATGCAAGGCTTAGATTACATGATAGCTGGTCGATCCTGAATATGGTTCTCGAACCATACGTGTGCGATATTGTGCAACCTGCCAACATACCATCCTCTAATTGTAAGAAGTGAACGTGATGATGTCCACGCTCCTTTTCAATAATAATATATGGCCTACCAATCCACCGGAGGAAAAGTTCTCTGAACGCAAGTATAAACACTAACAATACCTGAGTTGGATGGATTGTTTGTTTTCCGGTGAATCCCCATGCTCGACCTCAATGAGAAATAATAAACGAGTCTGTGACGGTTCGGGAATTTGTAAAAATTCATGTACCTTCTTCGCTTTGCTTCCGCAAACCATCGAGGTTTTTAATGTCGATGTACACGCTATCAATCGCCTGTAGTTGGAAAGCCTTGCAGCATGCCACGAATCGTTGCCGAGCATAAAGAACTTCGTTGCCTTCTGATGTACGTGTAGCACCCGAAACCATATTGTTTACAAAACTTTCATGATGAGATTTTCTATTTCATATATAGCCTCCTCATTTATATTCGAGTACAAATCTCTTCAATAAAAATCGTTTTGGCTGCGCGGGAGACGCGGGACGCTTTAACGGTGAACAAAGCCTACTAAGTTCCTTGGGCCATAAGACGACCAATCGATGGTCGTCTGATGGTCCAAGGAACTCAGTAGGCTGCGGTTTTGGTTCCCCGGTATTCCTGGATCACAGACTTGTTCAATTCATTCGGTTCGATAAGTACCACATAAAGGACAACGCCTCTACACATCGCTGTTAGGGTACCTCGTAACTCCGAATTTGGTTATCAAGAGAACCTAAGAACTGTGCTTTCTAGAACCTGATGAATGGAATAGTACGTTGCGTTCGTTGTTCGTGAATTACTTTGAGAGAAACTAAAAAGGAAGGTTCCCTTGACAAGTGACGACAATCATATGTTAGAGTTTTGATAGGTAGAAAACTTTGAATGACTACAGCTAGAACGTGACGAACAACTAATCTCAGAGAATCATTTCAGGTTCTCGTACCGACAAAAAATCCCAGCAATCCTCGGGATGACTTGAGCTAAGTAAACAAAGATTTTGCTACGGAAAAGTTCGTATAGTTTTTTTTTTGAAAAGAACAACGAGACGGAATTAATTCGATACCCTAAGATATGAGGGAAATCTTTTTGCGGACCTAGACCAGACCAGAGTGACCAGCACTACTGTGCAAACCAATGGAACTGCCATTAAACTTCATATTTCTGCCATTTGCTATGATAAAACATTTCATAATATTCACTCAATATCCTAGCAGTATTTTAGTACTCTATTTAATATATTTGTAATATAATCAAACTTTCGTCAGAAAAGTGTACTAATTAGTTGTGGTTACAGGTAAGGAACCTTCCGCTCAGTGCGATGCTTCCTGAATCGCCGAAGATAACTTTGTTTCATTCGCCCCTATTTGGAAGTGATACGGCACTAACGAAAGAAATGCAAGACATTCCCTCCCAGCGATCAAGCATATTTAAAGGCAATCACATTCTAGATAGAACCTTGCAATCTGACCTGAAGTTGCGGCTTTTCATTGACTTACCTATATCGGCACAGTAATCATCTGACCCAAAAACAACGGCGTCCAACTTGAAGAACCCTGATTTTTTGTGAAGATTCAATGTGGAAGACAGTATCCCTGGCATATCAAGCAGTGCACGTGCTGATTCTATCCAAATTACAAGGCGAGTATTCTGAATAAACGAAGCGATATATGTACGATTTCTAGAAAATTTAAATTTATACTACACTATTAAGCAACCTTGAAACTTGCACACTAACAGTATCCGTGACTCGTTTTGCTGTGTAGTTCGAACAGAACACATCATAGATTGTCGCCACATCTTCTGGAGAATCTACTTTTGGAACCATGAACGCCTGTGGTAAATGTTCAGCCTTGCATACCTCCTAAAATTATTTCGTACATTTTAAACTATACAAGTTGTGTCATCTTGTAAATAATGAAATGCCACATCGCTTAGGACCGTTCTTGAATAGGACATATCTATTTTACAGTACCTAAACCAGTCATCCGACGTGGCTGCGATATTCTGTCAGTTATGGAACGGGAGGAAATGACATGAATAATGAATAATAACCTACCTTTACATCGTCTTCCAAAAGGCCACTTGCAACAGAATTCACCCGTAAACCCAACTCGAAGCAACGCAGTTTTTGTCCACTCAGCTTGTCGAGAGCCTGAGTCGCTTGCCGACGCGCTATTGCCTTCGACGTCATTGCTACTCCATCTTCGAGTTCCAGTACAACACAGTCAGCCTGAATAATCCCTCTAAGCTCTTCATACAGATTGCCAGTGCTATTTATTAGGGACAAAAGTTAGAAGACACCATGGCAGTACCCACAACGAAACTGGGTCGCAGCGCGTGACCAGTAAGCCCCACGGTACTTCTGATTAAAACTTATCAACAAACAGCCTAGGAGATGCACTGAGCATCCTGGATTGTACACCCTCAACTTCACTATGAGACACCATTTCCTAATTATTTGTGACCTAGTTATAAACAAATTTCGACAATAGAGCTTACCTGTATGGATGCTACTTTATCAAGCATCTTCTGATTACTAGCAGGTACATAAAGTAAGGCACGACGTGGTACATATTTAACACGATCCTTTACGCCAGCAAATTGTGAAGCGCGTCGAAGCGTTGTCAGAGCGAAGCCCAGACGCATCTGAAACGAATTCTTCCTGAAACTTACTGTTAAATGGAGGATAAACGATGCCCGAGAACTCATGCTTGTGTATGACTAGTAAGTATTGTTCATTTAAGACAATCGATCATGGATTTTAGGATCACCGATTCTCGTGAAAAGGTAGGAAAATGTTTATCGAACAAGATTGTCCGTAACACTTGATTTTCTAAGAGAATAACTCGATAGTGCAAAGATCTATAAGTGGCACATATTCCAAAAGAATCGAAGAAAATTTGATTGCCGAGGGAATGTCTCAGCGACAAAAACATCAATTTTAGGACTGGGTTTCTGGACATCCATAAGAGTATTGTCTTTCAGCTTCAATAGAACGATTTATCGAAAGGCACTGCCCTTCTTGACCAAACCGACATCGCTTCATTAGACTAAACATCACCGTTCCCGAGTACCCATTTCCCGAACGTGATCATTAAACAAACACCATCAAGGATTACCACTTTCCAGCAAATCTTCACCACTTACCAGGGAGGGGTAGTCTACTTATCTTGGAACTTTGAAT